CCAGCCCGAGGTGACATCACTGGCACGTGCGCGTGGTGGGAGGCCATCGCGGTGCCAAGGCAGGGATGAGCCGGGTGCGGGGCTCGGGTGCGCCGGGAGAAATCCCACCCCGCGCCTGGGGAAGGCGCGTGCAGAACACCCCTCCCGGCGAGCCCCACTGCCCGCTTCGACGCAGGCGTCAAAGCCAGGCTTTGGTGGGGGACATCTGAAGAATCAAGGCCACTTAGTGAACAATCCAGACGGAAGGCAGCGGTTATGTTTGTGAGCAGCAGGCCTCAAGGACACTGTGGGAGCCGCCTGCGGTCAAATAACGATGAGAACGACCTTGAGAAGAAGAAGAAAAGTTGGTGTACGTGACTGAGATCGGAAAGCAAAGCAGGACGCAGGTGGAGAGCACCGTGCGCGTGGACAAGAGACTTTAACAAATCGTATCGTAGCCAAGAGCGCCTGTACAGATAGAGTTAACCAATTAGTTCGGAGCTTGTGCATGGTAGGGAAATCGAAGAGCTATATGAACCGGGATGTATCACCAACACGTTGGCATTTGCTTGATCACACCGATCGTGTGCAGCGTCCGGGACTTCCACGTCAACACTTTGGGTCTGGGCGCGCGTCACCGGCTCCACGCCCGCAGACGCTCACCCCACCGGTTCTTACGAGAGCGTGGTTTTTTTCGCAGAAACCCCTCGGTGGGCAGCCAAGCCCTGGGGAAAAGGCGACCTCCGAGCAGAAACGGCACCTTCCCTCGCGCGGGAAGAGCCAGCGCCGCCCTGCGCCCCGGGGCCCCCCGGGAAGCCGCCTGCGGTGCCCTAGGGGTGAGAGAAGGGGTTAAGGGAATCTTGGTAGGTAAGATGCTGCGTAAAAATTGCCTAGATTGCTGAGTAGCCCAGAGAATCAAATTGATAGGTAGCGCCCAAATGTTTTGCTAACTCTTGTCGAACTGAGGCAGGAAGATTTGCGGCTCCTTACGAAGGACAGCTCTTGGTAAGAACCAGGAATTTGCCTTAAGAACCGGCTTAAACCCCCCCTGCAGTTTGGGCAAGAGCCAAGGAGCAACTGAGTCTGCCCAAGAACAAGGGGTTACTGGCGGTGAGGAAGAGGAGCCACCAGCCTTCATCCCCACGACCCCCCCCGACGACCACCA